CAAGATATCCACCAAACAAGCATAATGCTCAATAGTTGGTGACACCCCAAATTCTGACTTCATCTCGTTAAAAAGCCTCTGTCCCTCATCGATAAGCCCGGCATGGCTACAACCCGACAACAACACAACAAACGTTACCTCATCTGGCTTGATACCAGACTCAACCATCTCATCAAACAACTCCATTGCTTCTTCTATAAAACCATTTACTGCGTACCCTGTAAGCATAGTATTCCAAGAAGTCAAGTCCTTACCTTGCATTTCATTGAACAGTCTCCCGCAGTAATCAATCTGTCCACATTTAGCGTACATGTCCAGAAGTGAGTTTAGCAGAGGGATATCAGGTCTATTGGCAGATTTTACAATCTGCACATGTATCTCTTTTCCACTGCGAAGCGCAGTTACTCGAGTGCACACAGATAAGATCGTAGTGACGGTAACCCAACTGAACCCCATCCCTTCTCCTTGCATCTTCCTAAAAGCGTCCAGCGCATCAAAAACCTGATCTCGACCGGAAAAACTCGCAATCAACGAGTTCCAAGACACGATATTTCTTTTGCGCATTGTTTCAAACACCTTCAATGCACCCCCAGTACACCCACACTCCGCATACAACCGCAAAAGAGCGTTACTTACCACCTGATCCGGTTCTTCACTAGACTTTACAATCTGGCCATGAACAGCTCTACCGACTCTCAAATCGAACATGTCGAAACACGCCTTCAAGGCCGTGGAAAACGCGAAATTACCGGGCCGGACGAACCGGGCCAACATCTCGCAGTAGAGAAGCAAAGCTTGCTTGGGTAGACCATTTCTCGAGTACCCAATAGCCATCGCCACCCAGACCGATTCGGGCACTTCTTCTCCGTCTTCAAGCCCGTCGAGAAAGACGCCGCAGGCCTCATCGAGGCGGCCGCAAACGGAGTAAAGAGTGATGAGCTTGCTTTTCAAGGTGGGGTTTTTGACGAGGTTGTGTTTGCCACGGTCTCTGGCGAGTAGTAGCTGGAGATAGAGTCTTTGGCCGTGTTCTAAGGACCTTCTTGAAATGCAGGCGTGGAGGAGGAGGGAGTAGGCGCCGGCGTCGGGTTCCGGGGCGGCGGGGAATTTGGACGGCCAGGATTCGATCAGGCGAAGGGCGTCCTCTAGTTTGCCAGATTTGGCCAGAGATTTAAGAGTTGAGTTTGGAGTTGGAGTAGGATAAGTAGTAGTTGTGTGGGTCTTGGAGATGTTGGGACCTGATGTTACAGTTAAGTTGGTTGGAACGGTTATGTTAGAGAGAGAAATGGCGGGAATCATTTCTTTCTCGGGAGGAGCGATGGGAATTACATGGACTGAATTTTAAATAGATTGGGCAAATTTAAAAGGGAAAAATAATTGGATATAGTTCTAGCTCTAGTTTACTGTTTTAAAAATATACAAAGACTGCTAGTGGTGCTTTGAATCAGCAAGTGCAACAGGAAACAGTGGATAAGGTCTTTGCTCTAATTATGGTCTCATTCACTTCACGGATTCAAATTTTCAATTCGAGTTGAGATGTGATATTTTTTAAGAGCTTTTTACTGTAGCAAAAAAAAAAAAAAATTAAATGTGACATTTTATGAGAATTTTTTACTGTAAAAACCTAAAACTGAAAATTTGAATCGGTGAAATGAACGAGACCTATAGAAATTCATTATCTAGCACGTGGATTTAAAATTTTGAGGGTGATGAGAGGAAAATTTTGGTTTCCCAAAAGAGAATGTAATTTAGGATGGATAAAATAGTGAGAAAAAAGTTGTAGGATATTTTCATTACAATAACATAATCATTAAAGACACGTTGACTTTGATCGCACGATTCAGTAAGTCAGAACACACGCTCTATAAAAAAAAGAAGAAAAGCTAAAATTTCTAATCGGCAGTCACCATCTCTATTGCTCGAAAAATCCTGAGAGCAGCCGAGGTGAATCCTAACAGCAACTACAGAATTCAATCACATTAAGGTTTGTGATTCACGTTGTACATTAATTAAGCGTCAACAATAATCGTAAGAGACAAATAATACCCGAATCGCTCCTCCATTTAAAGATATCACATTCAATCAACACAAAAAAGGAAATAAATCATCTCATTTATGTCCTAGGCAAACCCGATAATTAATATTGGTATTTTGTCAAATTCTCATGACAATTTTGTTGACTTAAGCTTAAGAGTGCCATCAACAGTACTTTACCTATCAGTACTCTTCATTTTACTTTTTTGTTTTATGAAATTCTTGATATTCAACTAGGTGCTGATATGATATCAGTTTCACAAAACATTTTCTTTTTGGTACAAGAGATACATGACAAATTTTAGCTACTATAATAGCTTATAAGAATCGGTTCTTTAACCACTAATATATCATTATAATAGACCCTCACAAAAAAAAAAAAAGAAAAAAAAAAAGAAGAAAAGTTTCACATATTACAACTGGATAGGCTTGAACCCAAGATCAATAGATCTTCTGACAGCATCCAACACCAACTGTGTCTTTCTACTAATCTCAGGCCATTTCCCATCTGGTTGATGCCCATATCTTTTAATGCCTTGAGCAAGCCTAGCAAGCTCTTGAACCATCAAAGCCTCTTGTGGCATGTCACACTCCACTCTCACTTCCTTTGGATCCATATTCCACCCAATATGAAGCTCCGCAAACTTAGCCCCACAGCTGAACTCAAACAAAGCAGAGTCTTCTTTATGAGGGATTATGAAATCGTTGGCGCGAATGGAGGCGTTGGAGCCGGAAATGGCCAGGTCCATGGACGTGTGGGATAGGAAAGAGCAGTGAATTGTGGCGGTGTTTGACGAAATGCTCCACTGAAACGACGCTGTGCAGGACAGGATCACGCCTGCTGCGTTTTTTGTGGTGTCCGGAAGAGCTTGGACTGTGGAGGGTAGTTTGTAGTCATTGGCCCATAAAATGGCCCCAATGCAGTACCAGCCTGTGTCCCCAAGTGCTCCCAAGGCGTCCAAGTCAGGCTTCACTCTTATGTTGTTTTGGAGAAATTCTGGGTTCTCTGTCATTGTGGACGTGCTGTAGACCTTCAACAGGATGAGCAAACATCAATAATACAAACTTGCTAATTAAATATTTGATGAATCTTCCATTTGTGGCTTAGTTAAGTGGTTTGGCGCTGGGAATTGGTAGTCATAGACCCTACACTATTAACTTCATACAATTAGCGAGCTTATTTATTTTCAACCTTTGTCCCTTGGATCTATTGCGGTTTGACACTTTCATCTTGCTTTTTTCATAAATCGATCCATGAATTTTCAAAACAGTAGCAATTAACTGTGATGATAAGTAACTGTGGTTAAATATTAAAGAATTCCTTAAATTCTCACTTTTGTTAGTTACAATAATTATATAATTAGTGCAGAAATTTCACAACAATTATGCCAAATATGAATAATTGTGGGACTTACGTAATTAATTTGGCCAAACACCCGTTGATCAGAGAGCAACTCCTTCATCTTGCAGGTCCTGGGATGGTGCAGCCACATGCTTCCGTCCATGAACTGCACGCCGTTGAATCGGCACGCTTCGAGTATCTGATCGAGCTCCGCCGCATCAAGAGCCGTCGGTTTCTCCAGCAGCAAGTGCTTCTTCTTACTTGCGGCCACGACAGCCCAGTGGACGTGGAGGCTGGTGGGCAGGGGAAGGTACACGGCGTCGACGCATGGGTCGTCGAGCACCTGATCGTAGCTCCCGTAGGTCTTGACCGCTCCGGAGAGGCCGACGAGGGCGGCGAACCCCTCGGCCTTCGCGAGGGAGCGGCTGGCGGCGGGGGGGGGGGGGGGGGTGGGGGGAACCGACGGCGTAGAGAGTCGCGTTGGGGGCCAGGCTAATGGCTCGCGCCAGTTTTCGAGCAATGGCGGCGCATCCGATGATTCCGAACCGAATTGTTGGAAGATTGTTTGGATGTTGGTATTCGGATTCAGCCATGTTTTGTGTTTTGCAAATTTCCTTGTTCGTTTGGTTTCTTTCTTTATCCTTTTGGTTTTGGAGTGTTAGGTTTAGTGACGTACATAGGTGTTCTGGAATATATTAGTGAGTAGTGATAAAGTGATAGAATAGAACGATGCGTGGACTCTTCGCAAGCCATTTGTTTAGTAGACAAAACCAAGAAAAAAAAAAAACTTAATATATATATATATACACACTCTTTTTTCTCTTGCTTTTTGCTGTCAAAATAATTCTATGGTGTTCAAGAATCTTGCTAGTATTAAGGATTAGTTCTTAAATGACCCCTAAAGTATCAACTTATCAACACATAATCATACATTGGCTGGTCAAGATTGAATTCTGGCACTTTTTTTTTTTCTAGAGGGACAAATTAGAATTTGATGCAAGAGGAAGCTACAGTTAGATTTGTCAAAGAAAGCAATTAAAGAATAGTCATCAGTCACCATGTTCATCGCTATCAATCAAGTTATTAATTGTTAAGAACGCTCAAGGTTTCAGTAGCTGACCACAATCTAACAATCCAATTTGGAACCAGATTGTTAAGGATTGAGACATAAATACACAACAGACTGAAAATTAAACCAAATTAATCTCTATTTCATCTGAGTATAAAAAAAAAACAATCTCTATTTCATCATCAACAAGAATTAGCACACCAACCTCACACTAAAATTAATAATAATAATGATACAAAAAAAAATCTAATGACTAACAACTACATCAAAAATGGCCCCATGTTCTTTTGTGTCATGTTAAAATATAAAATTATTATTGACTTATCTCTCAATAACTTAAATTTTTAAGATAAATTGATAAACTAATATGGTATCAGAGCAGAAAGTTCTGAGTTCAAACCTTTATAATTACATTTTTTATCCTAATTTAAATTATTATTATGTATTAAGTCTTTAATATATTTTAAACTTAAATATTTACGTGTTAAATTTAATTTATCCACACTATTATTTATTGTCTAATGCACACATAAAAAAAATATTAAAATATAAAATTATTGTTAACTTAGTTCTCAATAACTTAAAATTTTTACGTTCGGTTGATAAACTAACGGACATAAGCGCTTAACTTTACAGTTATTGACCTTAGTCATTAACATAGAAAAATCCAAACAAAGTCCAAAGCTTTCGTCTTCATCCTCAATCCCATCGAAGAAGGGATCCTCAAGCAGCTGAGCAGCTGACGGCCTCACCGCCGCAGGGACCAAACACTTTTCAATAAACCTCTTCACCTCCAAATCCTTAAGCGCGCCCAAGGAGCGTGGCTCCACGCCAGAGGTCACCTTCTTGAAAAATCTTCACCACAAACATCACATTCGCTGTAAGGTACTTCCATGGCGACCATCTCCAACACGCACATCCCAAACGCGTACACCTCCACCTTCTCGTCGTACTTCTCCTCGTAAATCTCGGGAGCCATGAACTTCGGCGTCCCCACCACCAACCGGAGGGTCTCGTTTTTGCTCTTCGCGACGGCGGCGAGTCCCAAATCGCCGATCCTTACGCGGCCGTTGCGGCCGTCTATGAACACGTTGCTCAGATTCAAGTCTCTGTGGATCACGCGCGGCTGGTGCGAGTGGAGGTGGTTCAGCCCGACGGGAATCTGCCTGGCCCACTTCTTGAGAGTCCTCAACGACACGCGGCGGTGCTTCATTCGGTAGTCTCTCAGACTCCCAGAGGTGCAGATTTGGGTGATGAGTTGAGGGTCATGTTTTTGTTGTCGTTCCAGGCGTGGGAGCAGGAGATTATGTTGTCGTTTTTCAGAGTCATTAGCAACTTTGACCTCATTGAAAAGCCTCCTCATCATAGTGTCGTCGTTGGTGAACCGCCGCAACGAGACCTGGTTCCACGCCACTTCCGTGCCCTATTGGTTGTTGAACGCTCTGTACGCCTTCTTCACGGCTCCGGCTCCGAGTAGCTCGCCGTTCCGGCCGTACCGCCCCGTCGGATCGGTCTCCACGAATTTCTCGCCGTCCGAATCACGACAAACGTTGTCGTACGTCATCTTACTATAATTGATCAAAAGCAAAGGAGAGAGAAACCCTCCAAATCTTAGAGAGAGAAAGTAAAACGAAGGATTAAATGAAAACAGAGGAGGAGCAGATGACCAAGAAATAAGCGCCGGGGGCTTCCTTCAAATATAGACTCAGAGAGGCCATACGATTAAGAGGGACACATTTAATGGGATTTTTTAAGTCAATAGGCCCTAAATGTACACCCATTCAATTCAACCCGTTATAAATGAAATTTTAATTTTAATTTTTTTTATTCCTGAGATAAGAGTAAATGATTAAAATATTCTTAAAAATTATGTCCGATCAGATCTTTCTTACTGGAAAGACCGGTTGACAATTTTCTTACAGGGCACACTAGTAAGAACTTTCTGACCGGACTCAGGTTTCTTACCGTTCCCACCAGTCAGAACGGAAAGAAATGACAGACGTGAGTTTCTTCGATTTTAGCCCTAAATATACACCCATTCAATTAGACCCGTTATAAATAGAATTTTCATTTTCATTTTTTTTATTCCTGAGATAAGAGTGAATGATCAAAATATCCTTAAAAATTATGCCCGATCAGATCTTTCTTACTGGAAAGACCGATTGGCAATTTTCTTACAGAGCACACTAATAAGAACTTTCTGACCGGACTCAGGTTTCTTACCGTTCCCACCAGTCAGAACGGAAAGAAATGACAGACGTGAGTTTCTTCGATTTTACAGATTACTCAACTCCGAAGAGGCCATGAAATAGCATGATTCTTGTTGGTTTTTCAAATAAAATACCAAACCACGATTACCCAGCATTCAAACAATGAATTAAGCATAAAAAATACAATATTTGAGAGAATAATGCTCGGATTGTTAATCACCATGGATGCCGGCAATTGTCGACGTCGGTAGGGGCATTTTCCGGCGGTGAAAGGCGGCGCCGCCGGTGAACTTTGGCCGGCAACGTTTCCTCGTGACTGCCCAGCGAAGGAGGGGATTTAGCTCCTCCTTTTCAAACGTTTTTTCTTTTAATTTGAGAGAAAAGGAGAAGGGCATTTAGGAAATACACACTTTTTTATTTAATGAAAGGCCTGCTCATTGAAATTTTCTATTTTGGAGTCTACTCATTAAATACATTACACATTTTAAGCCTATTTTTCAAAAGGAGTTTTGAATATGATTAAATATAAATAATGTGAGAATTACTATTGATACAATAATATTTTCAGAGGACTACAAGAAATTAGGGAAAACAATATGATTAAGAGACACTTGAGAAAATTTATTTACAGGGAAATTAGGGAAAACAATGTGAGAATTACTATTGATACAATAATATTTTCAGAGGACTACAAGAAAAAGATTCATCATGGACACATTTTAGAAAAATTGTTTTAAGAAGGGTAAATTAGAGTCACGTTATTTATGAAAAAAAATAGTAATTGGGAGGGTTTTGGAAAATTTTGTTTAAATAGGGACACATTTTTAAGAAGTAACTTTTTGGTGGAACAAATAAAAGAAAAAAATTGATGAGGATCACTTTTAGTATAATAACATTTCAGAGCATCACAGGAAATAATACCTTCTAGTGATACATTTGGAAAAAAAAATATTTATTCCTAAAATATTTTATTAGGAATAAACGAGGAGGAGAAAAAAAAAAGAACAAGAACGATTTTAAGAGGAAAAGCAAAAAAAAAAAAAAAAAAAAAAAAAAAAAAAAAAAAAAAAAAAAAAAAAGAAAACTATATGGTTTGCCATAATTTTATATAGATTTATTATTTTTATTATTTTAAATAATTAAAGGATTGTTCTTTTGTATTTTTGAGTTAGGGTGATTTGAATGATGATTTTGAGTTGAATTTGAGTTATAACTTGAGTTGAAGTTGTAACTTGAATTTGTGTTTGGATGTGCACATTTGAGTTATGATTTGAATTGATAATCTTTTTGAGTTTGTGTTTAGATAGGTCAAAACTTAAATTTATATTTATATAGTATTTTAATAAAAACTCAATGGTGATGAAAAATTTTAATAGGGTATATGGGTGGGGCTTTATTCGTCTTTTCGTTGTGAATGCATAGAAAAAAAATCATCTCAATCATAATTAAAACGAAAAAGTTATGGCATTTTTAAGAATAAAAAAAATATTATTCATTAATTTGAGTTTGAGTTTCTGAACTCGAGTTGAAGGGAAAACTTGAACTCGAGTTGAAGGGAAAACTTGAACTCAAGTTTAGCCCCAAACTCGAGTTTAAATTCGAGTTCAAACTTGACTTCAAACTTAAATTTTACAAAAGAACATGAACTCAAATAAAATTGAAACTCGAATTCAAACTTTTTCTGAGTTTTATTCTAAAAGAACAACCCCTAAGTGTCATTGTACCTTTTTATTTTCTCAAATTGAGTGATAATTATTTATTTTTGAGTGGGTGACATAAATAATATTTTCTTATATCTTAAGTGATATTTTTAGTTAGGATAAATTTTATTTTTGTTCTTGAACTATAATAGCGCTGTCAGTTTGTCCCCTAAAATTTAAAAATTGGTCTATATGTCCCTCAAACTATCAATATTATTGATTTTGCCCCTTCCATCGAATTGACGGAATTGTTGATGTGGCAACATTTTCTGGGTGGTTAAATTATATACCACCATCTGACTGCCTTTTCCCACCAAATTAGCTTTTTTTTATTATATTTTATTTCCTCTGGTTTTTAACAAAAACAAGGGTTTCTTCTTTCCTTTGTTTTAATATCAGTGCTTCTTCTAAATTGGTATCTTTGAGGTTGGTAGTAGGGTAAAAAAAACTTCAAAATTTGGAAGACCCATGGCAAGTAGTAGCCAACGGTGTTCAAGGTCAAGCAATGAACATGAGTTAAGCTCTGAATTTAGTAGAAAGATTGAATATAAAAGACCTACGCTTTGTAAATGTAAGCTTGAACCGGTGATTTGGACTGCAACCCCAGTAGAAAGTCCTATCATCATGCAAAATATGAGGTTAGAACTTTTTTTCCCCCTTAAATTTTAGGCCTCGTTCATTTCACCGATTTAAGTTTTCAATTTCAGTTTTGTTAAAGTTAAAAAACTTACACAAAAAATCACTTCTAACTTTTTCTGCTATAATTAAAAATTTTTAAATAAAATCACATCTCAACTTAAATTAAAAACTCGAATCAGCGAATTAAATGAGCCTTAAGATTCGTGAATTTATTTACACTATTTGTTGAACTTTTTGGACAATATTTTTTGTAGAAAGGCGTTAATCCAGGGTGTGGGCATCTCATTTGGATCAATCCTACTCCGACGAGATTGATCAAGTTGATTTGTTAAGGAGAGTTAAAGCCATTGAAAAAGAAATTGAGAAGTAGTAAAAAATATGTATGAAAAATGAAGATGATATGACAGCAGTACAAGTGGAAATATTGAGAAATGATACTGAAGTTTTCAAAACCCATAAAATTTTCCACCAACCAAACAGAATGTACCCATTAGACGATAATCTCTGTAGAAATCGTTATACCAAAAATTTCAACCATAAACCATACCAAAACTTGTAGCATTGTACATACCAACACATAACTATCAACTAACGTTCAAAAACTCATTATATTTTCGCATTACACAAAATTATTAGGAGAAAAACTCACCATAATCAGGTACAAAATTCTTCTCCCTGTCATTACCCATAGTATTCATCACGTTTACAAGTGATTCTCCACAAACTTAGTTTGGATCTCAAAATAGCAACATCCTCTGTGTACACTATTACTGTTTGTAAATAGTTATCTCATGATTTTTCATGTCTGAGGAGTAAATTTTTTTGACTGAAAATTCTTAGGAGTATATATAGTTTTACTGATCTCAAACCCACTTGAGACAAAATTACTTTCTTACCCTTCAATTTCCCTCAAAATTACGTTCACGTCAGCTTAAATTAGATGACAATAGACAAAAGAGACAAAATCAATAACGTTTGATAATTTGAGGGGCATATAAACCAGTTTTTAAAGTTTGAGAGATAAACTGATAGCGCTACTATAATTCAGGGCAACAGTATAATTTATCCTTTTAATTATTTTACATAAAAAGAAAAGGGGGTGGGGTGTTTTGGTCGAAAGTACTGTAGTGCCCTCTCTTGTCAACAGAAATAACGATACTGTTAACAGCGCGCCAAAGTGGAACCCACCCAAGCTGACATGGCAAACTAACTTTTTTTTTTTTTTTTTTTTTGCCCTTCTCGGGCAAACTATCTAACTTAACAGAAAGAAACTCCCTCTCTTTATTTCAAACGTCCATCAATACCAAAACCCCTCCAAAACCCCATCTTTACAATCTTCTTCCTCTTCAGTAGTACAATTCTTGAAACCCAAGAATCCATGGAGGAGCCAAATCGAGATCAAGATCAAGATGAACAACGAAATCGGCGTCAGATTCGGAGGCAGATTCGGAATCAGAATCGGAATCGGAATCGGCGTCCTCCCGATCCCGAATCCAAAGAGCTCATCACCTCCCCCAACCTCGCTTCAATGGAGACCTTCATCTCCAACCTCCATAACGACGACCAAAGAAGCGACAGAATCATCTCTTTCTGCACTGGCAACTATCCAAATACTTTCTCTCTCAAGCTCTCTCACCTCTCTCTCTCTTCCCCCCACCTCCGAGCTGACTCCTTCGACGTCTTCCTCAGAGTCCTTTACTCGCCGGAGCTCAAGTTCAACCTCTCTCCGATGATCCTCGCCGAGATCAAGCCCACCATTTTTGAATGCCTCAGGCAAGAAAGTACAACAAATCCGCCGTCGAAAGCCTTGTCCAAGACCATCTCCGGTATCGCCTCCTTGGTTTATTCGGACTCCGATATAGCCGAGAAATGGCCGGAGGTTCTTGACTATGTGGCTTCTTCCGTTTCCGCATCCGATGATAACAATAACAAAAATCTTCAAGAATGGGGTCTCTTTATTCTCCGGTATTTGACGGAGAGAACCCTCGAGCAGCTAGACTCCCGGTTTGGCGTGATCTTCACGTCGGTCTTGCGGCATTTAACCTCCTCGGATTTGGATACGCGGGCCGCCGCGTTCCGCGCTTCTGTTAACTTGGTGAGATCCTGCACGCATTATTCGAATCTTTACGAGCTCTTGCCGAGGATGATGAGCTCAGTGGAGAACTTAATATCCGGCGGACACCATGTCCTTGCAGCGAAAGCACTCCGTACTCTCGTCCAGATGGCGATGGACGAGCCGGGATACTTGGTTGAGCAGCTGCAAGAAGTGTTCGAATCAGTGGTGAGGATTGCGGAGCGGGACAACATCGACGAGGAGACGAGAGCCGAGGCGGTTCAAATCATCCGGGAGCTCGAAGACGGAGCCGGGCCCGACATGCAGAAGCTGATGGAGGATTTGAGCGGTGAGAGTATTGAGCGATTTGTGAGGTTGATGGCGAACTTTCTTGAGTACGTTGAGGACGACCCTTATTGGTATAGAATAGATCATGTCGTTACTCAAAATAATACTAATATGGAGGAGAAGAGGACTATTCTTCTTGGGACGTACTTTCTGGATCGGCTGTCGTTTATTCATAAACGCAAAGTGGTGACCATTGTCGTTATTCTTGCGCGAGAGCGTTTCAAGGCTCAGGAATGGAGGAAACGACACGCGGGGATTACTGCTATTGCTGTCATCAGTGAAGGCTGCTCTGAGGTAGAACCATTATTTTTGTCGTATAAGATATCTTATATCACTATTTCATTGTTAAATGTTAATTATTGTTGTTCATGTAAATCGTTAAAGATTTGAGTTAAAATTCCTATGTTTCTATAGACAAAAGTACCACTAAGAATGGCAATTTTGTAGTGTAATAATTTATGCATCATCTTCTCATTCTCTTTAATTCTACCTTGAAATATTAGACGTAAAGTTACTTAAATCAGAAGATAAGCATGCAAAACCTGTTCTACTTTATAGATATAAGTGATAATGTATCTCTTTTTGCTCCAATTGAAGTGTAGATCATTCCTCGTTTTCTTCATATTTTCGCAGGAAATAATTGATTATCTCGACCAAGTGATGGCGCTCGCTTTAGATTTGTTTCGAGATTTTCACCCACGAGTTCGTGCTGCGGCGATAAACGTGATAAGAACTCTAGGCTTGGACTTGGGGGGGTCAACAATACAAGAGAAGTATCATGACAAGATTCTGCCTGCACTAGGTTCTTTGGTTGGGGATTCCCTCAGCCCCACCTTACAGGTTCACATAGAGATTTGATTGATTATTAACAATAATACCATTCTCTTCATATTCCTGCTTTAGCATTTCAGATATACTTTAAATCTCTTATAATTAGGAGAAAGATATATCCTTGTAGAATTTCAAATTTCGCCGACAAGACATGGTTAAATTTTTACCAAGATGCAGGTTCACATAGAGATTTGATTGATTATTAAGAATAATACCATTCTCTTCATATTCCTGCTTTAGCATTTCAGATGTACTTTAAATCTCTTATAATTAGGAGAAAGATATATCCTCGTAGAATTTCAAATTTCGCCGACAAGACATGGTTAAATTTTTACCAAGATGTTATCCGTCGATATTTCGATCAATTAGAAGATCAAACACCATAGACTTTTAAATTTTGTTAGTGCTTCATTAGAAAAGTGTTGATGTTTCCCTTTGGTTTGTGCAGGTGCAGGCTGCTATGGCATTTGTTTCCTTCTGCAAAGGTTGCGAACCAGATCACTTGGAACCTTTCTTGGAAGGTTTAGTGAAAAGACTTCTAATAGTTTGCCAGGTAAAACTTAAAAGCCCTAATTATGAGTTCAATTTTCTGTAATATCGGACACGATTAAGACTCGTTTCATTTTTTTCCCGTTATTCGCGCATCCAGAGCCAACATCAGGTAGTGCAAGAGTGGGGTTTTGCAGCTCTTGCATCAGTTGCAAATTCATCACAGGTACTTAGTTCTTCTTCACGTGTTCATATAATTTTACCTTCACATTTCTAGTGATTTGGTTTAATCATGTACTTGTACATTTGTTCTCAGTCCAAGTTCAGCAGACTCTATGATCCTACTATGGCTTGCTTGAAAGATATCTTGTTGAAAAACACCGAAAATTCCACAAAGTTGATTTGTGCCAAGTGCTTGGAATGCATCAGTAGGGTTGCGGTTGCTGTTGGGAAGGAAAAGTTTTCAAGTGATTCTATTCAGGTGAGTCGTATTCGGCTTTTACATTTTTTGATTCTCCGGTAGAAAATCACATGTTCTCTTTATAATCAGTTGGTTCTATTTGTGTCTTCTAAGGAATCATCTCAAGTTGGTAAAAATAGTTTCATAAATGTCACCTGTTCATTAATACTATATTTTGAGCTTCTTTTTATTGTTATCACCTGACCAAAGAGAAAGTTACACGGGATGTTTTCTTTAAAGGATCATTATTTTATCAGCTATTTCTCTCTTTTTCTCTCCTCTAATAGCCTCTCTATTCAAATCTTTTTTTTTTTTTTTGGCTAAAGACTGAAAATGTATTTGATGCAAGGTTATGGGCATTCTAATGCCACTACAAGGATCCCTTGAGAGAACAGATCATAGAATAAGGATCTTTATCTTCCAGGTGATTTTAATTTAACTCGACCAGAAAATCTTTTTTTTTTTTTTTTTAAGTAGAAAACATTGATTTTCCATAAAACTAAATTCTAACTAGAGTAAAGCTTGTGTTATGTTGCAGGCATTGGCCAATCTTTTTGATTGTCTAAGGGAGGATTTATCTTCTTATGTCCCAGATTTGATGCCAAGTTTGCTCCAGTCTTCTCAACTTTTCAACCCTGATGTAGCTGAAGCTTCAAGTGATCCTAGGTTAGAAAATAACCGGTTATGAAGTCCCACAAAAGTCTGTTTGATTTTGTTCTACAAATGTCAATAAGGGTTTTTTTTTTTTTTTTTTTTAAAAAAGAAACTTTGTAAATGAGCTTCACTGGTTCTTTCTTTCTTTCTTTCTTTTATTTTATTATTATTTTTTTGTCACTGATTCTTTCTTAATTCTTAGTTCAGGATGCAAAATGCATACACTTTTAGTAAAGGCCTAACTTTAGTGAGACATTATTTTTTTTCCCTTTTTAAAATAATAAAATAATAATTATATTACTCCTGTTACAATTGCCACTTTTTTTTCCCCCTTCTTTTGCTAACTGGGTTTTGGGCTGTGTATATGGTGGTGCAGCAATAAATTTGATGCCTTAAAAGAGGAAGCTTTGGCTTGTAGGGTACTATTCTGTATAGCCAAGAAACTAAGAAGAACCATTTTTCCTTGGATCATACAGGTTGGTCTTATAAACAGTTGAAAGTTCTTCTTCCTCCTCCAAAAATTGATGAACCAAATTTTGACATGATTTAGGTTGCAAAAGCTCTGATTCCTCTGCTTCAAGTTTCTCAGCATCCTGAAACTCAAAAAATTGCTATTTCAGGTTTATCTCAATCTCCAATACTTTGATCCTTTCCTATTATTTGAGCATTCATGACTCATCATAACTTTTACCCTTTTTCCAATTTAGCTTTGCCTGAGCTTCTGCTATCAGCTATTTCATATCGTCAGAGTGGGAATTCTAAAATAAACATTACCTCCTTTACTCAAAAGTTGGCACTCCTTATTGTACCAGCTCTTTCAGAAGCTTTGCAAATGGTCAGCCCCCCCCCCCCCCCCTCCTTTTTTTTTTTTTTTTTTTTTTTTTTTTTTTTGCTTTCTTGTAAGTTCATCAATCTACAACTAATCGTCTTGCAGGAACCGGAGGGAACAATGCAAACAAAGTTCCTAAGCGCGATTTACAAATGCATACAGGTTGGTCATAATCCTTCCACTGCTTTGATTATTTGGGGCCAGTGTAGGATTGCTTTTGGAATCCTCGACAGTATAGTACTTTGTACACAAATCAGGCCAACCCGTACGCTTTTTTTTTTTTTTGCACAGACACCAATATGCACTTTTATAGTTATTTTGAGAAACTAGAGATATTTTGACTTTTAATTCTGCTTCTCCATTTAATAAGAGAAAAAGTTGTTTGTTACAAGCACACAAATCCCAAACTGTGCCTTTACGAAGCAATGAGTATTGTTTCTACTTTACTTAGAGTGCAAGGTATCGTGTTTTCTTGTAGGTTTCCGGCTCAGTTTTCACAAGAGCGCAGGCTTTGTCGATTGTGAATGGGATAAAGAAAGTGCTAGCTGACATTTCGGGTAGAGATGAACATCCAGTGAATGCAGAAGGCGCAGAGGATTCCGAAATGGATTCGGAAGATGTGAAGGAGCAAGAGGAAGAAATCTTTAGACAAGTCTGTTTCAAAAGTTCTTGTTCTTTACCATTCTGGATGTTCACAGTGTTTTATAGCTTCATATACCTTTTTCATTTATGCAGGTCACGAATTGCTTGTGCGGACTGATCAAAAGATTCAGAAGAGTTTTCATGCCTTACTTCGATGAAATTGTTATATACATTCCTATGATGTGGGTGAGTGAAAAAAAAAAAATCATCACTCTTTTTCCTTCAATGCTTAATATATTTGTCTCAAAAGTTTCTTCAATGCTTAATATATTTCTTTCAAAAGTTTCTTCAATGCATGGTTTGGTTTGACTTTTAATTGGTCTTCCATACAGGATGATAGAAGAAATGCCGAAGAGAAAGCTATGGGCTTATCCATCTTTAGAAATATTGTCCACCAATGTGGAGTAAATGCTGAAAAGTAAGTGCATTTCACTTCTCCCAAGGCAATATATATATATATATATATTACACTTTATTTTTTACTACAAGCTTTGCTTTATCATAGTTGTGTTGTCCAATAACAACAAGAAAATGTTTCTTTTGATGAACAGGTACCACGACATGTATCTCCCATGTTTGTTAATAGCTTGCAAAGAAGATGACCCGTTAGTTAGACAGGTATTAAAATTTCACTGCAAACTTAGTGGAAAATAATCAAACCCTTTTAACATATTGAATGAGAAGATCTAAAAATTTGCATTTTTCTGGCCAGGAAGCTGCCCTTGGAATTGGGGCTTGTGCAGAGTCTGGTGAAGCTTTTTTCAGGACACGAGTTGAGGGTAAGCTTGCTTGGCTATTTTGTTCAAGTGTTTCACATGAATGAATATCATTTTTTTTCCCCTAAATAGGAGATTGTATGTTTGAGAGAATTCTATTCGATTTTTTATAGCTGCCTTGGAAAGCTTAGATTCGCTTATAAAACAGCCAGAGGCACTGAGTCCAGAAAATAGAAAGACATTTGATGCTGCTGTTTCGGCTCTAGGAAAAATATGCCGATTTCATCGCAATTTTATTAATGCTCGCGAGGTAAAATGTTTTCCATATTTGTGCTTCCACACTTTTTACTACAAATTTGCGGTGTCAGTTAATTTAGAATCTATCAGGGCAAAAAAAAAAAAAAAAAAAAAAAAAAAAAAAAAAAAAAAATTGCAGGTTTACTTGAAACTCAAGTTATTTTTATGTTTTGAACTGAAATTTAATTTATTGCTGTATACTGCAGCTTGTACCTACATGGCTGAGTTACTTGCCACTGGTGAGGGATCTGGATGAAGCAAAAAAAGCCCATGATCTACTTTGTTTAATGGTAGAAAAGTAAGGATTAGTCTTTTGTTCTTCTTCTTTTGTTTTGTTTTGTACTTGTTTTTTTTCTTTTTTTTTTTATGCATGTGTTTAATTGATAGAAGCTGACCTTTGGATTTTATTTATTTACAGTAGGGATCATGATTTATTTGGCCCCGACAATCAAAATCTCCCAGTTATTATTGCAGTTTTGGAAGAGGTAAGTTTTCTTTATCACAAAAATTGAATTATCATTTGCGGAGCAAATAAATTGATCTTTTTACTCCAACCACTAAATCATACTTGTGATGAAAATAGTAACAAATAGCAATTTAGAGACATAACGTTTTATAGTTCTCTAGAAATTTTCAATCATTAGATTCATCCACTCCATCGAAGTGATAATTTATATCTACTATGGCAGATTCATTAAACAACCATTTTGTAATATAGTGGAATGAACAAGCATTTTAATAATCAAGCTCTTATTCTTTAATGTTCACAAACTACAGACTCATTATTTTCACTACTCGAAAACGTCATGTCTACGATGTGGGGCCTATGTCTCCCACTTTACTAATAAAAAATGAAATACCAGAATTCAAATCTTGGTTGACAGTTGACACACGCACACACTCACGCACCCAATCATTTGAGTTAGCCTCAAGTGGCACTCAAAAACGGTTACTATTCCCTTTAAGAAAACCGTTTTTATTATTACCTTTCTAATTTTAACTTATTGTTATGATTCTTTAGGTTGTGCAGCAGCAGGAGACCCTTGCAACAAAAGCAACTGCTGAGAGACTGACTGCCCTGCTACCTTTGTTAAAATCTGAATTAGATTTCTAGTTTCTTTTGCTACTAACATTGTGGCATGCTGAGTGTTAACCTGTATAGGCGGAGAAAAAAGAAGAAAAGTAATCTCTAGTGCAGAATGTGTAAAAAAAAACAAAAAAAACAAAAAACCAGCAAGTATATTACCATTTTTTTTTTATTGAACTTTGAGAATTTTCCAATCATTGATTGGTATTTCATGTGCTTCTTCCTTAGGTTATATAAAACGCCGCTAATCTCTTTCATATCAACATGATCACATTAGTTCTCCAACATTGCTTCCTATTTCTCGAGAGTTTTACAAGTTTAATAGTTTTGCCATTGTCAGAGTAACTAGTTGATCTACAAAGAATAACAAGAACAATATATCACGAAAGTAGTTCACTTATCCCTTTTGACTCTAAGATGTGCTTTCAAATATGAGAAGCAATAAAACAAAGGATAACAAATTCTAATATAGGTTAGTTTGTATCTTACTTTTTGTATGAAGATAGCTAGCTCGGGGCATTTGCTGAATATGAATCCTCATCTAGATGGAAACCATGTCAATGTTGTTACTCGCAGAATGTTACAAAGCCACTTACGTACCTACGATCAACCAACCATGCTTCGCAAATCTCAATCGCTAACGTCTCCTTGAGCCAATCATGCAAAGTGAAATGAAAATCTGTGCAATGTGCTTTTCTTCAACATGACTAGCATTAGCTTGACCAAAGCTTTGGTCTTGAATGCTTTTCCCGGAGGTTTCATTTGTACTATCTTTTGCATGTCAGATTAATGAATAATTCAACCTTTTATTCGTGCTGGAGTTCGATTGCTAATCTGTCCACTCATATTGGAGGTGGTGAAGAATAATTGTGCGGATATGAACAAGCAGGTAGTGCAGCCTGGTGCTAGTTTCTACCAATAATCATTGCAAGAGCAGATCCCGTCATTGAAATGGTGGAAGCGGTTTGAATCTCTTACTACTATCTCCTTCTGAAGTAGATCTGATGCCAATTTCATGAAATTATGGCAATCTACACAAATGCTGATGTTCTTTATAATTTTTATGACACTCCCACAAGGATGCAAACTGCCTTCATTCATTATAAAATACATCAACGCTAATTTCTCACTGTGACGATACAAGTTCTCCTCCTTTTGTTCCTCCTCTATATCATGCAAGGACAAGCTTGTCTCTGGCACATAACCCATCTCCTTTAACTGCCGTATTAGTCCGTCAAGCTTGCTGCATATAACCTCCCTATCTGGATGACGGCAACCTCCAGAGGCAAACTCATGAACCCGATTCCCGATCTCAATCCAACTCAATCCGGGTTCCTTCCTAACTCGACACTCTT